CTTGTGAGGACTCTGGCTGCAGCGTTCTGGACTAGCTGAAGCTTGTTAAGGCTTCTGCTGGAACATCCAGACAGCAGGGCATTACAGTAATCTAGCCTTGAAGTAATAAATGCATGAACGAGCTTTTCTGCATCCTGTAGAGATAATGCATTTCTTAATTTAGCAATATTGGAGGAAATGATGGAGGAAAGCTATTCTAGCAATATTGGTTATATGTGCATCAAAGGGCAGATCAGGATCTATTGTGACATCAAGGTTTTTTACAGATGTACCTGATGTTACTGAGAAACTATTAAGATCAAGCATTAATTTGGACAGTGTGTTTCTAGCCGCTTTTGGACCAAGAAGAAGAACCTCTGTTTTGTCTGAGTTGAATTCGAGAAAGTTACTCAACATTCAGACTTTTATGTCTTTTACACAGTCCCCAATCTTAGTAAGTTGAATTCAATCATCTGCTTTGGCCGATATATACAAGTGTGTGTCATCAGCCTAGCAGTGGAAATTTATACCATGTTTACTGATAACAGTACCTAGTGGTAGTGTATGTAATGCAAGTAAAAGAGGTCCTAAAACAGAGCCTTGTGGAACACCATACTTTACTTCTGTATGAACAGATGATTCGCCGTTTACATTTAAAAACCTGACAGCGATCAGTCGGGTAAGATCTGAACCAGTGTAAGCAGAAGTTACTGAGGAGGAAATAATTTTAACCAGCTCTTTTTGCTGAAGTAAGGTAAAACATTCTGGCCTCTCTGCAGTAATTACACTGTACTCAAGATCTGGATTGGCTTTGTAGGGCAGCAGGTTTGTAGTGGTTACTTTTAATTTTTTTATACCCTTTATTAATCCCACAACGGGGAAATTCACCTCTGCATTTAACCCATTTGTGCAGTGAAACACCACATACACACTAGTGCAAGCACACACACACTAGGGGGCAGTGAGCACATTTTGGACAATTATATGCTTCCAGCTTTGTGGGAACAGTTTGGGGAAGGCCCTTTTCTGTTCCAGCATGACTGAGCCCCAGTGCATAAAGCAGCTCCATAAAGGCCTGGCTGGGTGAGTTTGGTGTGGAAGAACTTGACTGGCCCTCACAGAGCCCTGACCTCAACCCCATCAAACACCTTTGGGATGTGAGCCAGCATCAGCATCAGTGTCTGACCTCACAAATGCTCTTCTGAATGAATGGACAAAAAAAAATATATATATATATATATATACTATCTGCTACCCAGTGCCAGAGACCCTCTGGTAGCACAGCATTGACGAGTGTGTGATACCCTTTAGCCAGGTGCCAATGATTTCTTCATTGGACAAAACAGATCAGAAATTCTGCCAAAACTTAAGACACAGACTCCACACTGGAGTTTGAGTTATTCAGACAGCGTTATTAAATATAAGAACGTATAATTTTAGGGAGAAACTAGTTTGCATATCTAAATTCTAATTTACTATTTGATAGTTTAAACTTTAATAACTATCAAATATTCAAAGCTTCTGATACTTCCTCAATAGGAGTTTCCAAAAACAGCAACAACGTATTCTGTCCAAACATGTACCCCGAGCCTCTTCAGTTCGTATGAGCATGTCCTCATTCAGCAACTGCATGTTTGCATGTATAGCTTCATGCTGTCAGGCAATATCAATAAAGGCAGGAATGACCACAATGCTTTCTCTACTCTCCACACCTGACTGAGACCATGAGGAGCTTCTTAATCAAGTGAGTTGAATCAGGTGTGCTCAGGTCTGCTGAGACAAAGTATGAAAATATGGACAGTGTGGGGTCACCAGGACTGGGATTGGGATCTCCTGCCTTAACTTAATGAATCCTTAAAGGAACCCAGACTGTAAGATGTGTATGCCTTAAAACGGTGTACATGTCCAATACTATATGACCAAATGGGGATGTTTTGTTCATTATAAAAAAACGGACCAATAGGCAGAATTCCTCTACTAGTATGTTGCCAGTGTCCCACTGTGATGATGTCATGTGGCTACAGTGGAGTTAAATTGAGTTAAATGAGATATTTAGCTCACTGTTCCTCACTGATTGGACAAGAGAGAGAGCAACCATTGATAAAATGGCAGCCTACTAGTAAAAGGGTAAAAGGTTTGTCTATTTTTAATAATAAATAAACTGGTTAATACAATATATTTTAATATTAGTAGACATGTACATGTCTTAACAGTCAGAGTTCCTTCTATAATAATAATAATAATAATAATAATAATAATAACAACATTGGACCACATGCTTATCAGATGCTGACATCTTAGTATGTTTTTTCAATACCTACACATCCCACATTGCTCTCCTATTCGCTTAACCTTGCTTGGAATGTAAATGTCAGAGCATTAATGCCACTTAACTTAAACTGAACTCACTATACTGTCATAAAAATGCACTGTTCAGGTACATTTCTGTACATCAAGGAGCAAAGAGTGATATTCATGAAACTTCTTAGAGTAGGAGCTGATCTAGGATCTGTTCCAGTCATTGGAGATAACAGAGGAATCTGATCTCTCCTACTCTGAGACGCTTCATGAATACAGACCAATGTAAACATACATTTAAAGATATGACATGGTCCTTTACCTCCAACTGTGTACCTGAAATCAGTTTCCCAGAGAAAGGTATTAGTACCATTTTTTAACCAAATGCTTTAAAAAAGAAGAATACAATAAAAGGCTGGAGTCACAGGGTGTACAGAATCAGCTTAATAACACATAACTACAATGGAATACAGTACAATTATGTTCTCTAACTACAGATACTGAAGACGTACCCCTAAGAGTTCCACCCCATAATAGTTTAGTATCTTTTCCACCTCTCATAGCAATTCGTTTCAATATTTAACAAAACTCTTTATCATTATCAGTCACTAGATAGCTAATAGTCATGTAGAGTCATATTTTATCATTATTATGCCCAGATCATCAAGTTATAGTTATGTATGGTTTTTCTTGTTGTTTTGAAAGCACTGGGGACTTGCAGCACAATGATAAATAGGTGTGTGTCTGTTTTTTGGAAGAACGGTTTTAAACATTCCAATAAAGTTGCATAGACTGGGATGAGAATGATGTCCTTTATGTGGTTCTCTTCTATATATATATATATATATATATATATATATATATATTCAATGTCTTTCAAGTATTTATATATCGCTGCTGTCGGGACAAAACCTTGTATCTCCATTTCTGTTGTTTTTCAGTTTTGGACATAATTTGAACATTTGTGTTGAAATTTCATGATGAATGGGCCAAAACAAAAGGCCCAGAATTACTTGGAAAAAAGTCTGGTTCCATTGACTTACATTAAAAGTAAAGTATGTTTTTTCCTGGATCAGACACAGCAGTGCTGCTGGAGTTCTTAAACACTGTGTCCACTCACTGTCCACTCTATTAGACACTCCTACCTTGTCAGTTCACCTTGTAGATGTAAAGTCAGAGACGATAGCTCATCTGCTGCTGCACAGTTTGTGTTGGTCATCCTCTAGTCCTTCATCAATGGTCACAAAACGCTGCCCACAGGACGCTGTTGGCTGGATGTTTTTGGTTGGTGGACTATTCTCAGTCCAGCAGCGACACTGAGGTGTTTAAAAACTGTCTGATCCACTCAGACCAGCGCAACACACATTTACAATGCAAATATAACCATTTCATTTACTATCCAAAATGAACCCACTCTATTCTGAGTTTTTGTTTGTAATGTTGATGATTGCAAAATAGTTGTAGGTCTGAAAAAAAAAATAGCTCTTCAGATTATTATTGTCCATTTTAATCTCCTTTTACAATGATTTTGTGCCTCCTATCCAAGCAGAACCCAACACTGACATTCCCACATTCCAGGATGACCACTGTAGGGTGTCTGTATGTGGCTGGTGCAACAAACAGACCCCCTCCATATGACAAAAGGTGTTCCACAGGCAGGAGTGCACTGACCTACTCTTGGGTCCTGGGGCTGCAGTATACTGATTAGAATTTACATATGACTCATGTTGTGCTGTAAACAAGTAACAGGAGTTTCTTGCTCTTGCATTTTACTATAAAGCCAACGGGGGGAGAAAAACAAACTATCAGATTCAAACAGATCGGACAGATTCCAGACAAGACAGTCAAGGAGCTGCACCCCAGACAGCACTCATGTAGTTCCAGTGTGGTTTTTAAATCAAATGCTAATTTAATATTAAATTTTCTTGTCAGAAGTTATGTGGCATGTTTATATCAGGTGATGATAACAGATTTGGTAATGATTCTTATATTTTAGGATAAAAATACATTTTTCGTTCTTGCCCAAAGTAAGTAAAATGAATGACAGAAAAAAAGGACTAAACTGGGATGCCCTTAGTACCTTTGGTTAGGATAATTAGTTAGGATAAAACATAACTCCACCATATTTCACTACAATTATATTTTTAAAATTGCACTGACTCCTGACTCCAGCCTCTTATTGTATTGTTCTGTTTTAAAACATCAAGTTATGTAAAGGTAAAAATATGTACTGTACCTTCCATTCTAAAAAAGCATATTTAAAGTGCACAGCTGGACCTTAAGACCCCTGTTGTACCTTTGAGAGAACATTTACACTGTTTGTATCTTAGTGAACAAAACTGAAAACTGTACCTGAACAGTGTCTTTATTTCTAACAGTGTTTATGTAATAATAACTGGTTAAAACTGTAAAGCTGACCATAAACCCATCAGGAATGTTACAGTTATCCCTAATGTTGGCTGGGTGGCTTGCTGCCAACTAGGCCTGAATTTAATTTCCTGGAGTCCTCCGTGTTTTTCCACTTTGTAGCAGATGTGGAAAATTACGCAATTCCCAGCTCCGACTTTCCCACTTCAAGCCACAGTCTGCACTAATATACCCTGTTATCTATTATCTGTGATATGTTCAGCATTAAACCCAGAGTTTTAACTGATAATAAATACGACGAGCGTAATTTAGAAGCAGGGAAGCTGCTGGAGCTCAGCTTTAGCCTTTGGACTGACCTGCTGAAGCGAGATGAAGAGTGAAGATGAGGAACAGCAATGACGTCATGACGTATCCTATCCTTCACTGTGGACTGGAACCATAATCAGAGAAATAAACTCCTTAATCCGGACAAAATGATCGAGGAAAGGCTTCTATTTGGGATATTCCTGCTTTCTGCTCTGGAGAGTCAACAAGAAAAATCTGACCAATGAGAATTAGGGATTCTGGAGCTCTGGCCAATAGGAAATAAGGAAGAGTTTCTAGGCGGAAGATCGAAAGTGAAACTACAAGGTTGACTCTCATGTCGCTCCGCTTTATTGACCGCAGCTGACCAGGTCTGACCGCAGTCAAGTTAAATTATATAGTCCGCTACAACTCCGTAAAAACAGTGCATATAACCTTAATAACTGATTATCCAGCGAGATGACAGCAGGCTTAAATCAGCCCACCTGATCAGTGAACATTTCCACAGCTATATTGGTGTCTATTGGTTCTTTACTGGCTAGTTTTTACAGTAAAATGCTGAATAATAGGAGGTTTTGACTTCGGGACAGTGTTATATACACTGCCAATAACCACCAATAACCATGTTTTAGGCAAATTAATAATTTATATGAGGGATATATATATATATATATATATATATATATATATATATATATATATATATATATATATATACAGGTTCACTCTCGGTTGGAGACATCAGAAAGAATGTGATTATGCTCTGTAGGCATGTTTAATAAACTACATGTCAGAATTTCATGGTAACAGTGATAAATATTATAAGTTAAAGTAAATTCGGTATTAGTTGCCATTGAAAGCTTATACAGCTCTTCCTCGCTTTCTTCTTGATCACTAACCTCCAACAGATCTGCTCCTTCAGTCATGTCAGTCTCCTTCAGCTTCTCTCTCTCCCTCTCCCTGCCTTTGTTTAGTAATATATTATATTATTAAACTCAGATTTACGCAAGGAAATAATGTGAATATGAAAATAATTCTTATTTTTTAACTGCTTAAAATTGCATTATGATCAACATTATATGACCTTTTCTCTGACATTAACGTACAGTCAACAATAATATATGGCAAATGCTGCTGTCATTGTTTCCAAATACTGAAGAGAAGTATAAGAACAAAGAATATAAACAGTGTCAATAATGGTATTTCTGTCTCTGTTGGTGAATAAAAACTAAAATTATTTGAACTGTAGTAATGTGCATTTATTTGAGAAGGTGGGGCTAAATTACATTTAAGGGGGTCTAAAGCCCCCTAGAACTGGCCTAGCAATGCCCATAATTGCATTACATCTCAAATCCAAAGGTTGTGCACAGTGGCGTCTCTGGAACAGGGGTATTATAAATTGTAGGGTCAGCAGCGACTCATCAATGAAACTACACACAAACCTGATCCAAACACAAACGCACCCCATCAGTGAAATCACACATTCACAAAACCTGGATATACAGCATCACATTAAAATCCAAAGTTATCCAGCTGTTTATGATCACTGTGGTCTGCAAATACACATCCAAAGCAACATATCAGAGCAGGGAAACACACTTTCCAGGAATTAGGAATAACACGCCTTGTAATAATGCAGATTGACTCACCAGTGATGGTCACTGCTCAAAAAGACAAGATGCAGGACAATCTTTCATCTGGACAAACTGGTGAAAAACTTTTCTCTCACAGTCCACCAATCCATGACTGAATTCAAGTGATAGCAGAGCAAGGGCAGGCAAGGAGAGCAGAAGAGTGTCATTTTAAAAAACAAAAAAGCAACAGAAAAGCATATGTTGTCCAAAAGCAAATGTTAAAATGGGGCTTAAGCTGAGCTTCTTTTGTGGAACTGAAATTGATGAAAATTAGCTGAACTTACTGAAAGCAGCCTGGCTTATTGAATTAGCTCTGTTCGAAGAACAGCAGGTCAGTTTTGCAGTTGGACAGGATGTGAACCAAGATGAGCTCAAACAAATTCACAAATATGCATTTGCACTATTTAGTAGAATCCCCTGCATGTTGTCTTTGTGCTTCAGTCAAAGAGATCAGTTATCATCAGTATTGAGGTACAATTACTATTAGTTATGATACCCAACACCATCCTCACCCCATCCCTCAATACACAACACCATCCTCACCCCATCCCTCAATACACAACACCATCCTCACACCATCCCTCAATACACAACACCATCCTCACACCATCCCTCAATATCTAACACCATCCTCACCCATCCCCCAATACCCAACACCATCCTCACCCATCCCTCAATACCCAACACCATCCTCACACCATCCCTCAATACCCAACACCATCCTCACCCATCCCTCAATACCCAACACCATCCTCACACCATCCCTCAATACCCAACAACATCCTCACACCATCCCTCAATACCCAACACCATCGCCACACCATCCCTCAATACCCAACAACATCCTCACACCATCCCTCAATACCCAACACCATTCTCACCCATCCCTCAATACCCAACACCATCCTCACACCATCCCTCAATACCCAACACCATCCTCACCCCATCCCTCAATACCCAACACCATCCTCACCCATCCATCAATACCCAACACCATCCCCACCCATCCCTCAATACCCAACAACATCCTCACCCATCCCTCAATACCCAACAACATCCTCACACCATCCCTCAATACCCAACACCATCCTCACCCCATCCCTCAATACCCAACACCATCCTCACCCATCCCTCAATACCCAACAACATCCTCACCCCATCCCTCAATACCCAACACCATCTTCACTCCATCCCTCAATACCCAACACCATCATCACTCCATCCCTCAATACCCAACACCATCCTCACCCCATCCCTCAATACCGAGCACCATCCTCACCCCATCCCTCAATACCCAACACCATCCTCACACCATCCCTCAATACCCAACAACATCCTCACCCCATCCCTCAATACCCAACACCATCTTCACTCCACCCTCAATACCCAACACCATCCTCATCCCATCCCTCAATACCCAACACCATCTTCACTCCATCTCTCAATACCCAACACCATCCTCACCCTATCCCTCAATACCAACACCATCCTCACACCATCCCTCAATACCCAACACCATCTTCACTCCATCCCTCAATACCCAACACCATCTTCACTCCATCCCTCAACAACCAACACCATCCTCACACCACCCTCAATACCCAGCACCATTCTCAATACCCAACACCATCGTCACTCCATCCCTCAATACCCAACACCGTCCTCACCGCATCCCTCAACCCAAAACCATTCCTCAAAACCCAACATCATCCTCCCCATCCCTCAATACCCAACACCATCCTCACCCAATCCTTCAATACCCAACACCATCCTCACACCATCCCTCAATACCCAACACCATCCTCACCCATCCCTCAATACCTAACACCATCCCTCAATACCCAACACCATCCTCACCCCATCCTTCAATACCCAACACCATCCTCACACCATCCCTCAATACCAGCACCATTCCTCAATACCCAACACCATCCTCTCCCATCCCTCAATACACAATACCATCCTCACACCATCCCTCAATACCCAGTACCATTCCTCAATACCCAACACCATCCTCACCCCATCCCTCATCCCTAAAAAAACATAGAAACGGACCTTAAACAGAAGTCAGGACCCTGTTGGGGTTTATCCTAAAGTTAGGACAGTATTTAGGAGGTTTAGTCTAGTCAGGATGTTTCTGTAATACTGTTTTCTTATCTGGAGTTAATGGATAAGATTATGAAGGTAGGGACTCTTATTCTGTTTACTGGGACACTCACAAAATGACCAGGATGGAGTGGTTTGTTTTACCGTGATCTTTTATATTTAAATACTGTTTGGAGTTTGATTTTATGCATTAAGAGTTTTACTGAATAAATATTATTATTAATATAAATAACTATTAATCATTTTAAAACATCAGCAAAATAAAACTTCAGATAAAATGTTTCTGGACATTCGAGAGGAGAAGCTGGAGAACTTCAGCCAAAAGTTGAGGACTGTCCAAAAGGAATGTTCTGCTCTTCTCACAGGTTTGTTTTTAGGTAAGTTATCAGGCTTGCTAAGAAATCCTGCTTTGTGAAAAAAACCCTCTGGACTGAGATATTTACATGCCCACCATCCCTCCCCCACCACAAACACCAGCAGTGACTCAGTACGGAGTGTGTAATCTGTTACAGACAGATAGAAAAGCAGTGAGAGTGCATTAGAATGATATAAGAATCACAATATCCTACACAGAGCTAAACCCTATACTTATACTTCTCTTAGCAACAACATGTCATTTATATTAGACCTATCATTTAATTGAATATCACACACAGTTTCAGATCCACTGGATAACACGTTTCTTTAGAAGACAGCTTATTTAGAGAGAAGCCACATTTAATGCACCATGTTAGTCAGTGAGTGTGTGTGTCTCCTCATTGTGTGTCTGTATATCATGTGACTGGGTCCTAAACTCGTCTGACAGCAGTAGATAAGAAAGTGACACTAACTGTAAACTGTCTGAAGAGAAGACAGATGAGTTACATGTACACAGCTATGAAGAGCTGAACATTAAACAGTGTTTCCTGTAGTTTCAGTAGATCTTCCTACATGACATTACTAATAAAGCCACTTGTGTATGAACTGATCACACAGAGCTCTACTGTGAGGGGGAAGAAGTGAAGGTGTCTGAGGGTCTTTCATTTCAGCCTGATTCCCCTCATTACTGCACCAGCCATAAACGACAACAAACGTGATAGACTACTGCAGATTCTGAACATCTACAAATGAGGGCTGTCAATCATTAAAAAGATCTTAATCACGTTTTTCTCGCTTTCTCAAATTGGAGATTTATCTGTTTTAAAAGCAGTGTGTTTAGTTATAGATCTGCTGTGATATTGCTGAAGCCTGCAGGACGTTACCTTCATATCTCTCATTTCGTAAGTGAGACGTCAGACTGAACATGTTCTGGTCAGTCAATGTCCAGAGAAGAGTAACCAGACTGGCAATTATAAGACACTCCTGCACTCATTTCTCTTACAGTTTCTTTATTCAGTTTATTTCAGTACATTTAGACTTATAAAATTACTTGAAAAAATATACTCATTCAGGTTCAGAGACATGAAATAAATTGAACATTGAAATGTTTGATTTTTATAAGACCTTAATATGATTAAGGAAAAAGCATTTTATTTACAATTAATTCTTTATTATCCGTTTCTGGTGCTTTCTTTAAATAAAAAATTCTCTATTTTTCAACATTGTACTGGGCTGTGGGGACACATTAGCCATGCGAGAGAGGTAACAACAAGCAAATAAGCTTTGATTTTTGTGCACATTTTGGAAAACATTCTTAAGATCCATCTGTATCAATATGTAAGAACTGAAATCTCTAAACCAAACTGTAACACTGAGGGAGGCAAAGAAGTGAGATGCATGTGCAAATCCTTTGTTTCACCTAAATTCACTGCAAAATATACAAATTTAAAGTGAACACTAAAAAAGAAAGTACAGGGCCTGACAAACCAAAACACAAGACAACTAACCAGGGATACAAATACACAGGGAACAAACAAGAACCACCTGAGGCTAAAGAGAGGGCAGCGCTACAGACAACACACAGGTGAGACAGATGACAAGGAGAAAGGACAGGAGAGAAGACACAGATCAAAACAACAACACAAGCACAACAAAGACACACGATGTAAAGTAAACAAAGGCACTGACGAATATTACTCACGACAGGATGATGTCAGCACTTCGGCAGTATTTAAACTGTATTTCATCTGCTATGAGTTTTACACTGTATTTCATAGAGTCTGTATTTATTGACTGAATCATTTCTACACAATGACGCCCACAGAAACAGACAGAACATGTTTTAGAGAACTCTGGGAAAAGCTTGATCAGCAGTCAGAATATGCATATTACATATGGCCACTTTCATTTAATGAAATTATTATTATTATTAGTTCTGCAAAAAAGAATGCATTATCAATAAATAAATATCTAATAAATAAATGAAATTAAATAAACCCTAAAAATCTCACAAACACAGCTGAAGGTTCATCACCTCAATGAGGTGCTACATTCAGAGTGTGGAAGGGTTCAAACCTGCTCACTGGTAGAGACTGATATAAACACAGTGTGAGAGATGGTTTCCACATAGGTGCCATGTATGTATAAAACAGTGGTGTTTCATCTGTACTGTAAACTGCAATTGATCATTATTCAGATGAGGTGATGGAGATGGTTGATGAGCTTCCTTCAGACTCACAACCTAAAAAAAGTCAAAATATTTCAGAATTATTGAGAATTAACACAGTGTTATAGAAGAGAAAATTCAGAAAGGCTGATTTACCTGAACTGGGGCTTCTCGAAACATGTTTAAAACCTGAAACAGAGATGAGTGGATGATCATCACTTTACCTGAGTCCCTCATAAGAGAACTGGGTGCTATAAAATGTATGTGATAAAAACCTACAGCTGTACAGAATGACTTAATTTCACATTCAGACTTTTACCAAAACACATTTCATCTTCAGCTTATAAAGAGAAACATTATGAAATAATGCATAATCATCATTTTACTGAATAAATTTGTTCTTGAAATCGGTGTAAGAAATCTGTCATCTCACTAACTCATTGTGTCTTTGTGCCCTTTAAGAGCCTTCCTCCAAATGACCAATCCAACAGAACCAATGAGGACAATCAGGAGAACAACTGCACCTAAGATGATACCAACTGAACCTCCACCTGAAACACCAGAGAGTAACACCAGAGCAGAGTTATCTGCCCCAGCAAATCATTTTGAAACTAAAGCACAGTTACTTTCTTTCATGAAAAACGTCTCCTACCTTGCAGGACTCTGCGTTCAGACACCTGCAGCACCATCTTCTTCTCCAGGCTGCTGTGCAGAATGACACAGGTGTACTCGTTCCTGTTCAGCTCCTCAGGTGAGACAGTCAGAACGCTCCTCTTCTGGAAGGTTCCATCCTGGTTGGGTAGCGTCTCTCTGAGCTCCATGTCCTCATGCAGATCCTCTCCATTCTTCTGCCAGGAGATCATCACTGCTTTGGGGAAGAAACCTGTAGCATGACACACCACTGGAGAAGAAGAGTCCTTCTGGAACAGAGACGCCTCAGGACAGACTGGAGAGAGAGAGAGAGAGAGAGAGAGAGAGAGAGAGAGAGAGAGAGAGAGAGAGAGAGAGAGAGAGAAACAAAGAGAGAGAGATGCAGAAAAGTATAAATATACGCTGCACACACAGTAGATTTTCAGTGATAATGGTGAAAACAGTGAGAGTACAGCAAAACAAAAATGATATAAAAATGATGAATTATGTAATTTCTGCTTACTTTGTCACATTTTAAATATGACACATTTAACAATAGTTCTTTTAAATATAAAAGCAGTTTAATATTAATACACTTACTTGTTTAAGTATTCCGCTCTCTTTTATAGTACAGGATATACACATGACTGCCCACTATTACATGATTCAAAGTTACTCTTCCAGAATTCAGCAGCAGTTATAGTAACAGATCAGATCACTGTACCTTTCCTCTCCAGACTGGATCTGCCGTAACCCACAAACTTCTGTAACCATGCAATACACTCATTCTCCAGGTAGGCCCTTTGGAACTTAGTATAATGATCTGTCTTCTCCCACTTCCGTTTGGTAATAACAGCTTTAGGATGAGCTGCAGTCCAGGTTTCAGTGTTCAGATCCAGACTGATGAAGTCTTCTCCATCATAACCGTACTTCATGTATCCTGTCTTGGTTCCAACATCATGCAGCTCACAGCCATACATCCACTGCACTGTGTGAACTCCTGCACACACACACACACTTGTTTCATTAGTTTAATCGTTTGACTAGTAAGATCTGAAGGTGAACACACATCACTGAAGAATATTTTGAATTTTGTATTTTTTTTGTATTTTGTATATTTTCACTACATCTGAAATCTAATAATATTTTAAACAAGTAAATTCTGTTCCTGTTTTAACAGTAATGTTGCTCCCACATTTTGAAAATGTTTAAACATGGATCTTTTTTCCCTCAAAAATGTGTGTAGCAATTGGAATAACTGTGTCAGATGGAAAAGACAATGAATGACAATGTCTTGTTGTGTTCAGTACACGATTAAACACACACAGTGCAACTTATAGAACTTGCAGTGAAACTAATAAAATGTTGAGAAGTTTTTTGTTTTACTGTCACTGTAGTGTTTTGATATTTTCACATTTAATAGAAGGTAGGCTAAGCTTACATGTAGTAAACACAGTAAAGTTCAACACTCATGATTAAGATTAACACCACTGAATGAAGAGCCATTTAGAAGCTGAATGAAAGGCTCTTATTGGTGAGCTGAGCTGATAGATCTGATCAGTGAAAATACCCAGAATGCATTGTGAGTCAAACAGCCCTTTCCTCTCAAAGTAGATGATTTTTGGCCATATTAAGCAACAAAGTGCACCAGATTCTCTGATGATAGTCTGGCTATATGAAAGATAACATATTATAAATGTTTTTTTATGTTTAAGTATTTAATATTTTTGTTGTAGAAATGTGAAATTTGCTCAGATCTGTATGTACGTTTGGTTTTATGTTATTAGAGAAAATTGTGCATCATTTCAGAAAATGCGTCTTAGCAGCTGGAAAAAACAGAATGTAAACATACAGTTTGTGTTACTATAGAGCTGGTGTTCAGTGTTTAAACCTCTCAGTGTGTTTATACTCACCTTCAGTCTGATTGAAGCGCATCATTGCTGTAGCCAGATTAACTTCGAAGGCCTCCTGATTAGCCAGATGTTTCAGTGTCTCTATATTCCAGTAATCTTCATCCACACTCTTCTCCATCCAGTCTGTCTTTGGGATCAACCTCCTGATGTTACTGTCGTAGTACACAATCTGCTGTCCATCCAGCAGACCAACAGCAGTGAACTCTGGGAAATGTATTCCTGGTGTGACTCCAGTGTAGAAGTAGCTCAGAGAGTGGGAGACTGAAAAAATAAAAATATCTATTGAGATGGAGGAAGAGACTCTCTTTAACCTGCACACTGTCATCTTCATCTCCATATTCAGAATCAGGAGACACTGACTGTATCCATTTCTAACTGCCGGTGCTGTTTTTATCTGATTCTGTTTCCACTGTTGAGGATATTTGCATCAATATCTCAAACACAATGATTAGTATTGTAGAATTAGGCTAATCAAAGCTAACAGGCCTTAATGTGAGGTAGTAATTTGGTTTTTGTGTGGTTTGGCACCTGAACCTCTTTCCTCTGGTCTTAATGTTCTCTCTCTCCACATGGTCATGTTCTTTTTTCTGATCTCAGAGTGGCAGAGAGAATAAAGGTGCTGTGCAGAGATGGGCAGTAATCACAATGGTGTTTACAGTGTTATTCATTATTCATTTTATTTATAAAATTTCGCTTTTTCAGACTGTTTCTACTGAATAGTTCCTAGATTTTCAAACAGCATAACTGGCTGCATGTAGTTCACTGTGAGTCTTTTAAATGATGCTTATTATGATTGAATCTTTCTAAATTAAGGACTGAAATGACTGCTGTACTTTCCACTCAAACAGATGTGTTTGGGTTTTTGAGATCAAGCCAGAAGTAAAGCAATCCGTAGCCGCTACAGTCTGAGAGACGTAATTAGTTATTTATTAATTAGTTATTTATATAGGATTTCGTTGGCCAATCTGAAGCTCAGGAGTAATTATTTTTAAAACCAAGCATATGAAATTTAACCATTGCCAAAATCATCCTGCATAACAGTTTTTGCACTTGTTTTAATTTGCAAAATGGATGGTTCTCTCCACAGAAAGGGAACATCAGCATCCTAACTGATAGCTAACTGATGTTGAGAAGTGATGAACAGCACATTCACCAATCCAGACCTGTAAAATGTGTACAGACACCTCTTGAAGACGTTAATCAGAATATGACATTTATAGACTATTTTGTGGACGGTTCTAGATTGTTTACTGAGCAGAAACAGACTCACCTGCTGATGTTAGATGAATGTAAACTATAAGAATGAACAGGCTTTTCTTCATTACTGTATAATAATCCATTTTCAGATGTTTTCGTTTGTAGAACCATTCTGTCCTGTGTCAGTTTGTAAACTGAAAGTACAGTGAGAGCTCAGTATCTAATGAGGGCGTGAACACATGTGCAAGACAACTGATAGACCCCACTGAGGCCCGAGTGACATCGTGGGGGTAAGTAAGGACATGGAACAGGGTCTTCATCTTCATATGTGATATAAAACATACTGTAGATTAAAATCTGTTAAAAACACCCTGTTTTCTGGTGATTATTTATTGAAAAACATAACATGCTACAAGGAAAAAATAAAATGTTGGGTTAAACTTGGATTTAAACTGATTAAACTCTATTTAAATTACTCTCCAGATTAAATTAATTTAACAGTTTTAAATGTATGTATACATATTTTATTGTGTCCATATTCAGTGTAGATTAGAGGTTTTCCACACTATTTTACCCTTTGATGTGAGAAAAATGCAAATAAAAATGTAGAAATTATGGCCAAATATAAACAGAATTAAACATGACTTCTAAATTCCACTCAGTGCTTCTTATTTCCCTTCACTGCTCTGAGAGGTCCTCACTGTAAAAGCCTCTATTAACATCTATTAACATCACCAAGTTGAAAACTGAAGTTTTCCACCGACATAGCAACACTGCAAGTCTCACACTCAGAGCTTTAAAATTAAATAATATAAAAAAAAAAAATAATATAAATAAATAATATAAATATAAATATTAAAATAAATATAAAATAAAATTATATAATTATTAAAAATTAAATAAAAATAAAAACAAATATTTATATTATTTTAATAAAAATATAAAATAAAAAGTATATAAAAAATAAAAAATTAATAAAAATAAAATATATATAAAATATAATTTATAATATAAATAAAATAAAAAAATAATATATTTAAAAAATTAAAAATATAAATAATATAAAATTAAATAAAAAATAATAATATTTAATAATTAAAAAAAAAATAAAATTATATAAAATATAAAAAATTTAATATATTATATAATAATAAATAAAAAAAAATAAAAAATATTAAATAAATAAAAATTAAAATAAAATATAAATAAAATTATTATAAAATAAATAATTTAATAATATATATAAATAAAAAAATATAAAAAAATTAAATAATAAAAAAATATTTATAAATATAAAAAAAGAATAAAAAATAATATATAAAAATAAATATAAAAATTATATAAATAAATAAAATAAAAATTAATAAATATAAAAAAAATATAATAAAAGATTTATATAAAAAAAAAAAAAATAAAAAAAAAAATAATAAAAAAATTAAATTATAAAAATTAAAATATAATAAATTAAATTATATAAAAATATATAAAAATTAAATAAAAATAAATAAATATATTAATAAAAATAATTAAAAATATAAAAAAAAAAAAATAAAAAATAATAAAAAAAATAATAAAAAAAAAAAAAAATAAATAAATTAATATTTATAATATTAAAAAAAATAAATATATAAATAAATAAATAATAATAAAATAATAATAAAAATTAATAAAATAAAAATAAAAAAATTTTAAAAAAAAAAAATATATAACTAAAATTAAAAATATAAATAAATATAATATTTAAAATATAAAAAATATATAAAAAAATAATATATAAAAAATATAAATAATATAAAAATTTAAAAGATAATAAAAAATATTAATAAAATAAAAAAAATATAAAAAAAAAATATTAAAATAAATAAAATAAATAAAATTAACATATAAAATAAAATAATAATAATTAAATATTATATAAAAAATAATTAAATATATAAAAAAATATAAATAAAAAAATATATATAATAAAATATATAAAATATAAATAAAAAATATAAATATAAATAAATAATATAATAAAAAATATAAAATAATATAATATAAATAAAAAAAAATTAAATAAAAAAAATTATAAATTAAATAAATAATTAATTAAATTATTAAATATATAAAAAAATAAAATTATATAAATAAAAAAAAAATAATAAAATATAAACAAATAATTATAAAAAAAATATAATAATTTAATAAAAATAAAAATATAATAAAATTAAAAAATTATAAATAAAATAAAAAAAAAAATAATATATAATATAAAAATTATTAAAAAAAAAAATTATAAATAAATAATAAATAAAAATATAAAAATAAATATAAAAAATAAATATAAAAAAAATATAATAATTATTTATATATAAATATAACAAAAAATAAATAATAAATAACAAAAAAATAAAAATAAAATAATATAAAAATAATAAATTAAAAAAAAATAAAAAATATAATCAATATAATATTATAAATAAATAATTATAATAAAAAAAAAATAAAAATAATAAAAAATAAAAAAAAGAATAAATATAATATATAAATAAAAATAAAAAATATAAAAATAAATATAAAAATAATAATAAAATAATATAAATAAATAATATAATACTAATAAATAATAAAAAAATTAAATATATATAAATTATAATAAAATAAAATATAAAATAAAAAATTAATTATAAATATAAAAAAATAATATAAAATAAAATAATTTAAAATTAATTAAAAATATTAAAAAATAATAAATACAATAAATATAAATAAATAAATTAAATTAAAAAAATATAATAAATTTAATAATTATAAATAATATATAATATATAAAAAAACAAAAATAATAAATAAATTATAATAAATAATATAAATATAAAATAAAATTAAAATTTATAAAATAAAAAAACATAAAATAAAAAATAAATAATTAATAAAAAAATAAATTTAAAAAAAATAATATAATTAACAAATAAATTATATAAAAAAAAAAAATTATAAAAAAATAAATATAAAAAATTAAATTATAAATAAAAAAAACAATAATATATTAAAAAATAAATAATACTATATAATATAAAAAAAAATAAATAAAAAATATAAATAAAATATATAAAATATAAAAATTAAATATAAAATAAAATATTAAATATTAAAAATAAAATATAAATAAATATTATATAATATAAATATATAAAAAAAATATATAAAAATTTAAAAATTATAATATAAAATAATAAAATTATCATAATAAATTATAAAAATAAACATAAAAATAATAAATATAAATAATATATATAAATATTTAAATAAATAAAAATATATATTAATAAAAATATTAAAAAATAAAATAAATACAATTAAATAAATTAAATAAAAAATAAAAAAATAAAACAATAAAATAATAAAAAAATAAATAAAAATATTAAAAAATAAAAATAAATAAAATCATAAAAAATAAAAAAAAAAAATAATATAATATAAAAAATATTTAATAAAAAAATAAAAAATAAATATAAAAATAATTATAAATAATAATATAATTAATAATAAAATAAATATAATAAAAAAAAATATATAATAAAAATATATAAAATAAATAAATATAAATATATAAAAAAAATATATATAAAAAAAAAATTATTAATAATAAAATAAAATAATAAAAAATATATAAAAATAAAAAATAATATATATATAATTATATAACAAAATAAATAAAATAAAAATAATTAAAATTATAAATTAAATATAATAAATATTAAAAATAAAAATAAAAAAAAATAAAATAATAAAATAAATATATAAAATATAAAAAATAATAAAAAAAAAAATATTAAATTAAAATAATAAAATTAAATATAATAATAAAAAATAACAATAAATAATTATAATAATATAAAAAGATATTAAAAAAATAATATATAAATAAATAAATAAAAAAAATAAAAAAATAATAAAAAATATTATATAAATATAAATAATAAAAAAAAAAAATATATAAAAAATAAAAATAAAAATAAAATTAAATAATATATTAAATATAATAAAAAAAATAAATTAAAATAATAATTAAATAAAAGAATAAAAAAAAATATTATAAAAAAAATATAAAAATAAAATAAAAAAAAAATAATATAATAATATAAATATAATAAAAAATAATTAAAAAATAAAAAAAAAATAAATAATAATAAAAATAATAAAAATAAAAAAATAAAAATTAAAAAATATATATAAAAAAAATAAATAAATAAAAATAAATATTAATATAAAAAAAATAAAAAAAAATAATAAAAAAAAAAAAAAAATAAAAAAAATAAATATATAAATAAAATTAATAAATATTATTATAATAAAAAAAATATAAAATTAAAATAAATAATAATAAAAATTATAAAAATTAATATAAATATAAAAATATAATAAATATATAAAAATAAAATAAATAATAAAATTAAAAAAAAATAAAATTATATATAAACTAAAAAAAAAAATATAATTAAATAAAATAAAATTAAATTAATATTAATTAAGAAATAATATAAAAATAATAAATAAAATATAATATAATATAAAAATAATATAAAATAAAATAATAAAAATAATAATAAAAAATATATTAAAAAAAAAAATAAAATATAAATAATTAATAAATAATATATAATAATAAAATTAATAAAATAATTTAAAATATAAAAATAAATAAATTAAAAAAAAAAACATAATAAAATAAATTATAAAAATATAATAAATAATAAATAATATTAAAAAAAAATCATAATATAAATATATAATAAAAAAATAAAAAATAAAAAATTAATAATAATAAATAATATAAATATTAAATAATTAAATAATATTAAAAAAAATATAAAATAACATAAAAAAATTATATTAATTATAATACATAAAAGTTAAATAATATGGAAAAAGTACTGGAAATAGGGAGTGGGGAAAAATATTAAAAATAAAAAAATAATAAATAATAAATAATAAATAAAAATCAAATAATTAAAATAATTACATAAATAATTAATAAATATACAATAAAATATATCAAATATAAATTATCTTATACCATATATAATAGCCTTAAATTAAAAATAATAATAAAAATAAATAAATAAATAAAAAAATTACTAATATATAAAAAATTAATAAAATAATAAAAATATAATTAAAATAATTATAATTAATTAAAAATTAATATAAAAA